CTCCGCCCCCCATGACCCTGGTGAGGATGAAGGTGTAGAGATGATGGATGGATGAAGTGGTTCATGAGAGTCGGGTTAATTTGATCTGATTGTCATCACAGAGCTTCCTGTCTGTTGCTGCTGACATCTACTTTAATTCTTCAAAAACACGCACAGACACACAAACAGGCCTTAAGATGATAATCAGTGTTTAAATCTGTTCATCCTGACTGAAGCTCAAACATCAAACTGACCGCTGACACACAGAAACATGAAATCTCTACAACAGTTGTGGGCGGCTGTGGCTCAGGTGGTAGATTGGAAGGTCGGCGGTTCGATTCCGCCCTGCAGCCTGTGTCATGGTGGTTGTGTCCTTCACCACCTGCTGGTGTGAATGTGTATGAATTTAAGGTGGTGGCCAGAGGGGCCGTAGGCAGAGTGGCAGCCAGGCCTCTGTCAGGGCAGGTCAGCCACCACCGGGATGGATGTGTGCGAATGAATAACTGATAGTGTGTGCACTTCATGCGCTACATAAATCTAATCAGATCTAAGAAACAGTTCTGGTCACTGAGTGAAACCAGGACATCAGAAGAGTCCAACCGAACATCAGCTCCATCAGCTGAGTTCCAGGTGGTCGTGTGTGTGAGCAGACGTCTGAGCAGATTCCTTCCTGCCAGTCGAGCGTTTCACAAACATCCTCCGTCCAGCAGAGTCACACCGAAGCTACGACTTCTGGATTCATTCCTCACAATGAAACACACAGAAAACACCTCAGTAGCACACACACACACACACACACACACACACACGCACACGCACACACACGCACACGCACACACACACGCACACACACACACACACACACACAGGCTGTGATCAGTGTTTCAGCAGAACCAGACGTTTCCTGTTTTGTTATTTTAACTACATGTGCTGATCAAATATTATCTGTACGGTTTTCAACGCAGTACTTTTACTTGTCATGCAGTATTTTCAGAGTGTGGTCCAAGTACTTTTACTTCAGTGAAGGATGTGAGTTCTTCTGACTCCACAGTCTGAGTGTTCGCTTCAAAAACCACTAAATGAAAAGTCTGACCTGATGTACTGCAGCAGCTGTAGGAGGCGTCTGAAGGTCTGCTGGTTCTCCTCTGGTTCTCCTCTGGTTCTCCTCTGGTTCTCCTCTGGTTCTCCTCTGGTTGTACTCTGGTTCTCCTCTGGTTCTCCTCTGGTTGTACTCCCGTGTTGGTCCTGTTGAACTTCTTGTGACTCCTCTGCAGGAAAGCAGCCACAAACTGAGAAGCTTCTGTTCTTCAGAGCAGCAGCTTCACCTGAATAATCAGCACATTCATCACCAGGACTCCTCCTCCTCCTCTTCCTCCTCCTCCTCCTCCTCCTCCTCCTCTGTGTGTTTCTGGTTGTTGTTGTTGTGTGTGTGTGTGTGTGTGTGTGTGTGTGGAGGTTCAGTCCATTTCAGTCACTGTGGCGCCGCCTGCAGTCAGAACCTGAGCGCTGCAGACTTCTTGGAGGATCTGATGAACATCTGGAACCAGCTGTTCTGAATGTGCCTGACAGAACCGTCGAAATGGTTCTTTCAGGGTCGTTCTTGATGAAAAGCTCTTTTTAAGTCGTTTTTATGCCAAAAAAACCAAAAAGTAGTTAAATGTCAGAATTTGCAGCGTTCCTTTGATTAGAAGACATTTAATATTTTGGGTTCTGGTTCTGAATGTTTGCACAATATTGACTAACATTACCTACAAGTTCTGATAATGTTTGAAAGACAGTGTTTTAATAAAAGTTGTCTGTTCTGAGGATGTTCTGTGGATGTTCTGTGGATGTTCTGAGGATGTTCTGNGGATGTTCTGTGGATGTTCTGAGGATGTTCTGTGGATGTTCTGAGAATGTTTTGTGGGTGTTCTGAGGATGTTCTGAGAATGTTTTGTGGGTGTTCTGAGGATGTTCTGTGGATGTTCTGTGGATGTTCTGAGAATGTTCTGAGGGTGTTTTGTGGCTGTTCTGTGGCTGTTCTGTGGGTGTTCTGTGGGTGTTCTGTGGATGTTCTTTGGATGTTCTGAGGATGTTCTGTGGATGTTCTGTGGATGTTCTGAGGGCTGCAGATTGTGTTACATGCTAACACAAAAAGAACGTTCTCAAACCAACTCTCCAAAAATGTTTTCTGAACATTATGGAGGCCTCAGATGACAGAACCTTTCTTATGAATGTTATAAATGTTGAGGTCAAACGTCATTCAAAGTTCCTCTATAGAACGTTCCTACAACGTGGTTGTGATGCTCGACGTTCGTCAGTCAGACGGTCTGGTACAAAGAGACCCGGCCGGTATGTCCCAGATGTTCCACCGTCTCTTATTTGTTATTTGGGAGCTGAAACTAAAACATGTTTTGCCTGAATTTAGCAAACTTTTCTATTTTTGTGTATTTCTAAGGGAACCTGTGAAATCCTCTTTAGGGTTCACTTCAGACGACTGTGTTTTTCTGAGATGACTGTTTCCTGTCATTTTACAGGATTGCTTGGAGCCACAGCTGCTGTCCTACCAGCACAGTGTTTCCAGAGCAGGAGGTTCATGAAGGTTCTCCGAGTTCTGAGAGAGCAGCTAAAACAGGCACTGACGGGCCGCATGCTTACATGTTACTGTGAAACAACGTTTACAGGTACAGTCCAAATCTGTCTGGGCTGTCACATGATGATGATGAAGACTCTGAATGACGGCTGAAGCTGTAGTGACGACCGATGGCCTCCAGATGTCGCTGCAGGATGAGTCAGAAAATAAAAACCTGTGCGTCCTGAAGCTGAAGATCAAACTGCAGCAGTGTGAATCTGTGGACGTCATGACAGCTGCTCAGGCTGATCCTCTGCAGACACAACATTTCTATCTGTGTGTGACTGCTGATCTGCAGCTCTGGTCAGAACAATGACTGGATGATGACCAGGACACAGATGTTCCTCTGACTCTACAACCAGTGTTTGGGATCAGTGCACAGAGCCTTCACTGTGGAAGGGCTTCCTGTTTAGTGCTTTTCAAAGTTAAGTCACGATCCGTTTAACTGCTTTGTTTTGGCTGTTATTTCGGCTCATTGTCTTGCTGAAAAAACAAATCATCTTTCTCTTCACTCTGCTGCATTCATTCACCCTCTAC